TTGATTAGTTTACAAAAGACACTCTTGGTTAGTGAAAATTCCTTCAATTTGCAATTCGGAAGCAAACTGATTTCACCAATTTAACGAGAAAGTAAAAAAGTTTTGTTATTGGTTCTACTGAAAACAACCAGTCTAATTGTTCACATATTTGGGGGTCGGAAAATTAACCGGTACAACTCAATTTTCTTGTAGAGTTGTTTCTTTCCACTTCAATGTTCTTTTCAGATTCGGCGCTTGCTGCGTGCAATTTATTCTCCAAAACATATGTATATTATTCATGTGGATAAGCGTCAACAGTTTCTTTTCAACGGTAAGTGGTTATTTAATTTCTTAGTTCGGATTTTAAGTGTCATTGAAAGTTCTAATTTTTTAAATTTTATTCTGGATGTTTCAGTATCACACCTCTTAAAGGTTACATGAATTTTAGAAATGATCCAGCTTGAAAAACGGCTTATTGTTTTGGGTTATCGGAACTTTCATGTTCTCAGAGAAAGATATGCTACCATTTGGGGAGCTTCTAACCTTCTGACGATGGTCCTTGACAGCGTTAAAAAGGCTTTCCGTGATTTGGGATGGAATGGCTGGGATTTTTTTCTGAATCTTAGCGAAAGCGATTTTCCGATACTTTCTCTTAATGAACTTGAACTTTATCTTATGAGGTATTACTTTTTAAGTTCTGACGGTAGCGATAAGACTGTTATAGCATGTTTTCTTTTTCGTTGATGATTGAAACGATTAGTTAACACTTTGAATTCAAAAGAGGGTCTTTGACACAAGCACCGGTTCTCAGTATCTTATTTCAAGTTATTGAATTCAATTTTTCAGCAACAAAAACTTGAACTTTATGAGCAGCCATGGTCATGATACTGGACGGTTTATTGTGAAACAAGGACTCGATTTCATCTTTATGCAATGTGAAAACCGTATGTGGCGTTTAGGGAAACGGTTAAATATTTTTTGATAAGGTTTTTATAGTGGTTCTTTTCAAGATTATTTTCTTCTCCTTAACGGATTAGGATACCTTGAAGAATACACGTTAATTTCAGTTCTAGTTTTCCACGCAACGTGCGCCTTGATGGGGGTTCAGACTGGCTGGTTTTAAGTCGTGAATTTTTGAATTATTCTTTGTCAGATGATGAACTTCCTAAAAAGTTGCGGGAAACGTTTGCAACTATTCTTCTCCCTGTTGAGAGCTTTTTTCACACAGTGAGTTGCTACTTTAAACAATTTCAATCATTTCTCTAGCAAAGTTAAGAAGTTTACCTTATTATTAGTTGAACCTTCTGTAGTATTACGCATGCTGACTTTAGAGCAGCTTACAGAGTAGATTTGTAACGAATGATTTCTGACTAAAAATATGGATGATTCTAAACTAAAAGTACAATTGCTTCTATAATCAGTGTGAAAGATTTTAAAAATTATTCTTAGTTTTTTAGCTAGCGTCTAATTCACGCTTTTGCAATCGTACAGCAAAAGGTAACTTGAAGATTACCAATTGGAAACGTAAGCAGGGCTGTCGTTGTGCTATGTTGAAAAAAGTCGTTGATTGGTGTGGCTGTTCTCCTTTAGCTTTCACTAGAGATGACTTCGTTAAATTCAACGAGAAAGTCAGTTTTGGGTAGTCATTCATTTAGTTTTTTGAAAGAGGCCCTTGTTGTGAATTTTATCGCTTTTGCACGCGTATTTCAGTTATCATTTTTTGATTTTAGGCAGCCAAAAAAAAACCGGCCTTCTTTGCTAGAAAATTTGAAGGACTTGTGAGCCAGGAAGCAATTGCTATAGCTGAAGTGAGGGCTTTAGCAGATCGTCAACATTTAATTCCTAAGAAAGATGTGTCTTTGATGAAAACTTGGCTTAATTATTACTCGTCTTCTACGGAATACTCATGTTAGTTTTACGGTTTTTTTTTTTGAAGCTGCCTCACATCGGTCTATACTATTTTCTTGTTTAAGACGACTTTTGAATTTCTGAAATTCTTATTACACATTACAGCACATATTACTGAAATAGAAAGTTAAGGTTTTAAAATTTGAGGAGTAATTTTTATTTTGCGTGCTTAGCACTTTGAAAGGTATAAAGCTTAGAAAAAACAATTAATTTTATGATTTTTTTGCTATAACGAGTGTAACTGTTTAGCTTTATTGAACGCGTGGGCCCAAGCTCTCTACGAAATAGCTACTGGGATAGGGCCAATTGCTGCTGCTTGTAAATTCGCAAAGCTAATTAACTTATTTGTTTACAAGGCTGATGACCGCTCTGCTTTTCAAACGGTGGTTGAAATGCGCTTGAGGTGTCAGTATGAGAAAAATGAGACAATCCAGCTGTTAATTGACGACAAGAAGCATCTTACTTTTATGAGCACTAACCTAGTCGGAGATTTCTTTTTAACTGATATTCGTGTGGGATCTAATAAGGATTTGAAAGAAGACATTCTTCGAAGCTACAATGGACCTCTCTCTGAAGTGAATCTCAAAGTTCATTTAAAGAATTCTACAGCTTTGAATTGTTCGCTAGGCGGTTGTTTTTGTTGTTGGTTGTATTTCGAAAGTAAAAGACAACTTCCACATGACTGTACTGTCAAGTTAAGTTTAATTCTAAAACTTACATAACTATAGCTATTTTACAGGATGATGAGGTGGTAGCTCAGTTTTGGTGGCGAAGCAGCCAAAGAGTGGTTGGCAACTTCACTAGTCCACGAGTCAGAGTATATTTCCGAAACTTCCATGGCAAAGAGTTTTCTCAAGACCTTGCACCTTATGACTCTATACGCGGTGCTCAATACGGAATAATGTCAGCTAACGAAACCATCCCTGGCGAATGGAGCATGCAAGTTTCTGTTTTTAATGGCACTGTTTCTCTTCCAGTTGCCTCCACAAATTTTGTTTTGTTTTCAACTGGTACTCCGCTTGTTCCGGTCTGGCTTGTTCAGAAACACTATCAAGTTTTGTCGGTGTGTTCGGAACGTAAGTTGAAAATTTTACGAATTTGCAATGAAACTACTTGGAGTCCAAATTCACCTGATCCAAAGTCAGACTTTCCTGTGAAATAACTGCTGATATTATTTTCACCTCTAAAAGAACAAACGGGTTTGTTTTTCTCTTCTTGTCTTGATCCTCTTTTTATTATTCTCTCACTTCTTGTTTTTATAAATATGTTTGTGAATAAGGCATTACGAGTTTTTTTAGAGTTGTCATTCAGTATCTGCATTCTCAGTCCTGCTAAGTCTTTGTTTGAAAAATGCTCATCAAACGCTGGTGCTTTTGTAATCTTACAAAGTTTTACTGTTGTTAATATTTTTGGTAGTGGATGGGGTAGAAGACTAATATTTCCGATTGTTTTAACAACAATGATGTTAAGTAATAAAGTTCTTTATTAAGAACACTTAATTGCTCAGTTCATTCTCCATTATCGTTATTTGTCTTCTGTTTCCCAAACAATGGTATATTTGGTTTGTTTTTCTTTCACGGAATTATACATTGTTTTTTTCACTACAACGTAGGTTGTTCCTGCTGGTTTCTCGTCTGGTAGTTTTTATGACGTCGGTGTTGAGTCTTCTTTTTTGTGGAGTTAGTGGTATTCTATTGAGGGACTTGGGAACAGCTGATATAGGAGAATGGTTTGATCTTTCTTGGTTTCAAAACGGAATTCTGTTGCGAAATTTGAGTTAAAGCATTGACTCTTGTGAGTCTTATTCAATAAATATTAGGCTGGTGAATTGAAAATTAGCTTCTAGGCTTTTCTCATTTGATAAGATTTAGCGGCATTAAGCAGAATTTTTGTTTTTCAAGAATGCTTCAGTATACAATGTTCTCAAATTTTCTTTTGTGGACTGGTCCCTAATTGAAGGATGTTTAGAGTCAATCCAACAGGTCAGTAGAAAGCTATACTTCTAACTAGTTTCTGGGCAAGACGGATTTTTTGCGCATGGAGACATCCAGAAATCTGAAAAACTTTGCCTGCTTTGGAGCAGAAACACATGGCTGCATGTCTCAAACTGCATGTCACTTAGGAGTACTTAATTGCTGGCATCGTTGTAAGGGGGAAGCAATTGCTGTTAGGTTTGCCCTTATCACGCTTCATTTTAACGTTCTGAGTGATTTCATGCGTTTCATTCCTTTCCAGCGGTACTTTCTTAAGGGGCTTTGAGGGCGCTTCGCTATTTAAGTGTATCCTCTTTGCTAAGTTTTAACCGTCCAGCTAGTGTCGTTAAGCTTTCAGCAAAATGGAGGTTTGTTTCTAAATTACTGCTTCTGAATGCACTAGTTTAACAAGTTAAGACCAGTGTGAACTTCCCAGACTTCTGATATTGTAGATGCGACTTGTTAATAAGTTTTTGTTAGTCCAGATCGGTCATAGGCATCTGTAGCCATTAGCAGTGAGTGCCGCTATACGAGGATGAAGGGACGCCAGAAGTCACTAAATTTAACAGTACATTGATGTTGGTTAAAGTATTTGTTGACTGAGAGATTGTTGAATCCTGAGATAACTTGCAGTGTTTCGTCAGTTGTGTTCTTCTGTCTTCAATCTTGCTAAACTGCAAGAAAAGAAGGCATTGAAAATCTTATTCCACTCATTTTAAAAGTTAAAACGACAACACAGTTCTCGAGGGTGTCACAAAGATATATTACATTGGTGAAAAAAAAAAAGAAATCGGGCTAAATAAAGCACCAGCCAAGACAACCTGTGCGTCACCAGCCAAGAAGTTATCACATCTACAGAAGCTATTGCGAAGAAACTTCTTAGTCAAAGAAAATATAATAAACGGGGACCGACAGATTGGCTGATTGGTTAATTATAGTTTTAAAGGGCTGGCCAAAGGCACTCGAGTGATTGTATAATGTCGCACGAGAAAAAAAAAAAAAAACGAAGTACAAAAGAGCAATTTAAGAAAAGGATTAATTAGGAACAATAATTACAAATAAAGAGGCACAACTGCCTTAAATATAATAGTACACATCAGTAAGGCACAACTGTATAAAACCGTACATAAAACACGGAAAAGCTCTCACGAACCACTTCAAAGAACAAAACGTCGTGATTCACGTGAGAATTTTTTTAAGTTTAAACTATTTTTTTCCTAACTTTCCTCTGTTACTGATTAATCCGAAGCCTTGTTGGAACAGAAGATGAAATGAAAAAAAAAAAAAAAAA